CTCGACATCTCAACCAGCACCAGATCAGCCCATCCCATCACCCATCTTCCGACGTTCTCGCCGCCGCCGCCTCTCGGATCGAAGGAGGCAGGGGGGGGGGCGTGGTTTGGAGTTCGAGATTTCGGGGATCGAACATCGAATGCGCCGACTGCGCGAACGCAGCAGCCTTGAGCTTCTCCTCCACCACAGACTTGAGCAGCGGCAGGCCGTTCGGGAGGAGGCTGCACTGCCCCCAGCGGGAGTTCAATCGAGGCATGGTCAGCAGCATCACCTTGCAGATGTTGTGCACGGTGGTCTTGCCTTTCATGGCGCGCACGATTGTGGCCTCGGAGCGCGACTCTGTCGCTCGATCCCACATCGCCCCAAGAGCGCACCCGCCTTCCGTTCGCCCCCTCATCTCATCTCCCACCAATCTTCGAGACAGACACCCCCGTCGACTCTGCCGCCTGCCCCGCGCCCCCCCCCCCTCGGCCGCCGCCGCTGTCGGGGCGGAGCGCCGCGCGAAGAGAGGGCAGAGAGAGAGAGAGAGAGAGAGAGAGATGGCAGAGAGGGCGGGCGCTGGCGGGGGAGGGCGGGGGCGATCGCGGCGAAGAAGCCGCCGCCTGCCTGCCCTGTGCTGGTCTTGGAGAACTCGAGAACTCGCCCCCTGGAGTCGTCAAGCGGGCAGGGGCGGGGACGGGCAGGGGGGGGCGAGGGATGAGCCCGAGGGGGGCCCCAAGGAAGGAAGTGGGGCCCCAGGGGTTCGCCGACGCCGCGCCCCCCAGACGCGACGCCAGCGGCGGCGAATGACGCCAACGCCAACGGCGGCGAATGACGACCCGCGTCGAAGGCCCCAGGGGGCCAGGCCCACGGGGCACACGATTTGGCCCTAGGCATGTTCGATCTGAGGGCGGCGCCATGAGTCTCATCTGGTCGGCGTGCGCCGCCGCCTCCATCTTGGCCACGTCGACCTCGCTCATCACGCGCCGCTCGAACACCTCCCACAGGCGGGTGCCATCCTCGTCGACGACCTGCAGGCGCGACAGGCGCGGCGGGCCGATGGGCCGATGGGGACCGACAGGCCGCGACTCCGAAGGCGACGGCGACGGGCAGGGCGACTTGGGTGCCAGCGGGGGCCGGGCGACTGGCAGGGCGACGGGCGAGCAGGGCGACTGGAGAGGGCGACGGCGGGGCGACGGGCAGGGCGAGGACGCGGCGCGGGCCAGGGCCCCCCCCCCCGCGTCCTATTCGCCCTCATCCTCCCCCACCTCCCCCCTCTTAGAATCGCCAGCGGGCTTAGTGCCCATCGGGCCCCGGGCGGCATTTCAAGGGCGAGCTCCTGGCCAGGCCCCTCGGACGGCCCGCGCGGGGCCCGCGCGCCACGCGGTCGGGTGCACGGGGGGGGGGAGCGCGCAGGAGGCGGGGCAGCAGCGCCAGGAGTTTGAGGAAGGACGACGACGACGAGGAGGGCGAGGCGGCCAAGACCGACTGGCAATCCTTCCACAGCTGGCAGGAGCGGGCATAGCAGTGGTAGCTGGGCCAGCGCTGGTCGAACGCCGCCTCCACAAACTCCCACTTCTTCTCGTTGTGGGCCGTCTCGCCGATCTGCACGTGCTTCCAGTTCATGCTGTCCCGCTTCTTCGCCCACGACGCCTCGATGTGCTCGATGCTCCGCAACTTCTCGCAGATCGTGACCGTCGTGCACTGGTCATTGAACATATTGCCGAGCTCCTTCAAGAAGAGGATGCACCCCACTGGGATGCCGCGACGATAGACCTCAGGGCGCGCGCGCGCCCGCGGGCGCGACCCCATCACCAGCTGCTCCCCGCAAAAGCGTTCCCCCCCATGCTGCCGCCCTCCCCCCCCCCGCCCTCCTGCCCGCTGCAGCGCCTCGTCCGTTCTGCGGTTCGCCGCCCGCGCTGCGCCCCCGCTTCCCCCGCCCGCCTCGCCCGAGCCCGCCCGGGGGCGCGACTGGCCGACGGAGCTGGGGCGGGCGGGCTGGGACAGGAAAGGAGGGGGGGCTGGGCGGGCGGGGAGTTGGTAGGCGAACGCAAGAAGATAGTGGGTTGAGTGAGCAGCAAGCTCGGGCGCCCCGACTCGACGGCGGGCGCCCCCCCACGGGGCCCCCCGCATCTGCCGCGCCGCGAGGCCGCTGAGAAGGAGGCCTTCGAGTTCTGGCAGCCCGCCGCCACAGACATGTGCACGTTGGCGTTGTTCTTGTTCTTCGGGTCCAGCCAGGCAGCCTTCAATCCTGGGGGGGGGGGCAAGGGGGCAGCAGCGCGACGAATGTGCAGTGGGCCGTGCGCGGCCCTCCCCCTGGCGCCACCCTCCGCCCTCTCCTGGCCCCCCTCCTTGCTCCCCCCCATTGGCCGCCTCCACCGCCCCCCGCAACTCACGCCGCGCTGCAGGCCCCCATCTCGTCGCCGCGACGAGATAGTGGCCAACAGCGGCCTAGCAGCAGCAGCAGTCAACCCAGGCGCAAGTTCCAAATGCGCGCTCCTTGCGAAAGCGTCGCCCAGTGCACGGCCCACCAGCGGTCGGTGATGGCGGGGTCGGGGTCCTCGATGACGAAGGCGCCTGAGGAGCGAGGGAGACAGAAGGAGCGATGGGGCGATGGGGTTCGGCATAGCGATGGGAAGAGGCGGGAGAGATGGGTGGGCGGAGCTTGGAGGGGCTCCTCTACCCTCCTCCCCGACTCCCTCCTCCCGCATCCATCTCGCTCCTCCTCCCTCGTCCATTCTCATCTCTCCTCGTGCCCCCCGGGCCCCCTCGCCCCGCGCCACCGCCCTCCCCGCCCCTCGCCATCCACGCCCTCCTCCTCATCCACTCACCTCCATCGCTCCCGTCGCCATCCACCCTGCTCACTCACGCTATCCCCATGCCGCCCGCGACACTCCAAGCCCGCCCCGCGGGCGCCTGACCGTGCCGCGTTGACCACTCCGATGCGCTCCACGCTCTGCTTCCTGGCGAGGATGGAGCTGGCGTCGCCCCGGTCGTTCAGGGCGTGCCGTTCGATGGCCCACTCCTTCCCGCACTTGCGCAGGAATGGCAGGGTCTGGCCCGCGCAGGCCAACCAGTCATGGTCGATGCGCTGCAGAATCTCCAGCACCGAGAGGTGCTCGCCGTAGTGCTCCTGTGGCACCCGGGGCAGGGCGCGCGAATTTGCTCGGGCGGGCGGGGGGGGCGGCGTTTGCGATGGGCCCCCCGGGGCCGCCGAGCTCGACGGGGCGCGCGCGGGGCCCCCGGGGAAGCGTCATCATCAACGTCCACCAAGAACAATCAATTCGAAAACAAACTCGAGATTCCCGCGATGCACCCACGCAACGCCCAGCCCTCCCGCGAACGCAGTTTGCCGCTCGCCCCTTGGCCCGCCCAAGTGCGAGCGACGCGCCCGCCAGCGGCGGGTCAAAACGAACTGCGCGCGCCCTAAGGTCGAACGCGCAATATTAACGTCTGGCTCAGCCCCGCAATCTCACCAGGCGATAATCGGCCGCGCCACGCAAAGAAACGTCAGCGCGGGGGTGTTGGAGCCATGGGCATGCGAGCCGAGCAGGCATCGAATTCTTATTGGAGGGCTCGCAACTTCGACGCGCCAACTGCCGATGCCTCGAGCGGTGCAGACAACGCGTCGCCTGGCGCCCGCGATGGCAGAACAATCGGACATCCCAGGCCAGAAGCTTTTTTCATCACGGGGAGGAGGCTAGCGATGACTGATCTCCTGGGCGGGGGGGCTCTCCGATAAATGATGTCCTCCAGACAGGGCGCCTCAGGCAATTGAGTCTCGGCGGAGAGGAGGCGCCAGGCGACTGATTCTCTGCGGGGCCAGCTGTGGCAGAGAACCGATTGCCTGGCCCAGAGACTTGGTCGCCGTGGGCCTCGGGCGCGCAGACGACCAAGTCTCTGGGGCGCCATTGCCACAGGCGGCCAATTCACTGCGACCGCCGTCGCCCCAGGCGACTGGCTCTCTGGGAACGCCGCTGCCGCAGAGAACCGACTGCCTGCGCCAGAGAGTTGATCATCTGCGGGGCCCATGGTCACAGCCAACTAAGTCTCTGGGGCCCGCTGCGTCCGAGAACTGACTATCTGCGGAAGCCCCTGCCCCGGGCGCGCGACTCGACGCGCCGCCCCCCCCGCCTCCGACAATCAACTCTCTTCGGCGGATGCCGCCATCAGATGAGACGCGCCAGGCGACGCAGGGCATCGTTGATCTGGCGAGGCTGGTGGTCAGATTAACACCCCCCGTGGCCGCCGCGCTCGCCAGATGGCCAATCGTCTGGAGGCAGTGCCGCCGCGGGGGGATGACCTGGCGCGCGGCCGATCGATCTTCGGGGGATGGGCGCCAATCCTCAACTCGCTCGCTCGCCCCGACCCCACGGGTGCGCATCGCGCCCTGCGCATCGCGCCCCGGGCGGGGCGCGGACGCGCGATGCGCGGCCCGCGCGGCGAGGGCGCAATGACCCCTCGCGCGACCTCGGGGCGCCCTTGCGGCCCGCCCGTCGGGGCAGGATGTCGTTTCATTAATCCTGAACCCTGGCGGGGGGGGCCCTATGGCTATAGCCCCGCGGCCCCAGGCGCACGAACTCACGAGCCCCCCCTTGGCCAGTCCACGTTGCCCCTCTGCGCCGCAGGGCCCTCGTTTGAAATACGGGCGCCCTTAGCGCCCGACCCGATCGGGAAAACTACATAGCAGCTGGGTGGGGAGGGTTGAATTGCAGCCCGGGGCGGGGGGGCTGTCCTTGGCAGTGACGTAGCCCGCAGGCACCTCGAACATGCAGCCCTTCTTCGGCTTGACCAGCGCCATGGCGACGCCCTGCAGGAACTGCTCCAGCTCCTGCGAGTGGCGAGGCAGCCGGGGCAAACGACGGGCAGGAATGAGGGCTGCAGGGGGTGGGGAGGGGACGGGAAAGAGGGGCTTGGTTCAAGGAGGGGGGAGATGATGGAGAAATGCTGGAGGAGGTTTTGTGGAATAAATCATTGGTTGCGTTCAAACATCGGGCTCCTGCGCGGTGCGCCTCTCAGGCGCACAGCGGGCACGTGAACGGCGACGCGATGACGCCGCCGAACTTCTCGGCGCAGCATGCGTGCCAGTCCTTGCAGCACACCTGGCACCGATAACATGAAAAGTCGCATCCCACCAGCGACGCCACGTACCTGTCCGCGCCGATGTCCACTGCGCACTGGCACACCTCGCACTTCACATGAGGATCCTCGGCAAGCGGCCCACCGAACAGCTTGGCCTGATGAAGCTTGTACGCCAGCAGCTGCCAGCCCTCCAGCGCAGGCTGCACGTCCTTCTTGCCCCGCGTGAACCTCAGGCCAGTGTCCCGCATGATGATCGTGGCCTCGTCATACGTCTGCTCGGGAACTGCGAAGGCGGGCGTAGCCTTGAAGTTGATGGCCCCGCCCTCCAAGTAGTTGAAGCTGATGGGTCTGGCCTTCATCAGGTTCACTTGCGTCCATTGAACATACAAGACTTCCTCCTCTTTCGTGATCAAGAGGCCCACGGACCCACGCTCTGCAGGCATCGGCTGACGGGCTGCTACACTGCGGAGCGCGTCCTCTACGCTCGCCACTTGGACAGCGTGTCGCGCTTTCAACTCAGCTACATCCAAATCAAGAAATGGGCACGCTGCAGGATCTGCTGGCTCTGCGTCGGGCACTGGCTCCTCCCCTCTCTCGTCGTCCAGGTCTGCTCCGTTCTCGTCCAAGCGCGAGTGCTCTGGGTGCTCAGCGTCAATCGGCCCATCCTGCCCAGGTGCCAGAACGTCCTCGTCTGGCAAGAGTAGCCCGAGAGCCTCTGCTAGCGCATCGATCTCAGGGGGGCCATGGAGCTGGCGGTTCCTCTGGCGCCACCTCGCCCCCTGCGGGGGCATCCCCCTCGTCGCCGCCTGACGGGGCATCGCCATCGACGACGGGCGGGGCGTCGCCGTCTCCTCCAGGAGGCGGCGCTGGAGGCGGCGGAGGGGGCCCATGCGCAGGCGGTTGCCGCAACTTGGTCGGGAGGAATCTGCGAACACATGGCCCCTCTGACAGGATGGCGGCGCTCGGGGAGATCCACTGAAGGCCCCAACACCACACGCGGAGCTGCGCGGGGAATATCCGATCAGCGAAGGCGTCGGCGATGTGGAGAATCAGGCGCCTGCTCGCCAGAGGAAGATTCAACTCCAACAAATCGCCAGCAGCGTTGACCTGGCCAAGGGCAACGAATGCAGCGCCACAATAAGTCCAAGATATCACGAAGGCAGGGCGCTCAGCGGCGTCGCCGTCGGCCGCGGGCGGCGCCAAAGAGTAGGCCCGCGAGACCCACGCGCGATCATCGCAAGTCGCGTGGTAATCCTGCAAGGATTTGGCGAACCTGGCTGCCTGGAGGGCATGCTCAGTTGCCCGGTGCGGGCATCCAGCATACGGGCCCGGGGCGGCGACGTCGGCAACGGGCAGAGCGTTCGCGAAGCGGTTGTTGTTCTCCTCCGCGCCCTGGAACAATCTCGCCTCAGCGTGCCTCGCGACGCACTCCTCGGCCGAAAGGGCGTCGCCTTTCTTGAGTCCGATGCGAGCGGCGACTAGAGGCAGATGGATAAATGGGGCGGCCTTTCCAATTGCCTGGATCACACTGTTCATCCCCTCGATCTCCTGGGTGGTCACCGTCGCGTTCGACCGAAGTAGTGCGATCCATTGTGCCAGCGAGGCGGGGCAAGTGCCCGTATCTCGCATGATGCGAAACTCCTCCTTGAAGATCTCCCTGGTCTTCACGGCGACGTCGCTGAAGCCGTCCTCCACGCAGCAGGCGTGGGCGGCCAGGAGTCGGCCAGCCATCTCGCGACGGGCAGGGTCGTCCACGGCCAGCGGGCTCTTCAGCGCCACTAAGAGCTGCAAAGGAAAGGAGCCAACGCGGGCCACGATGCGCTCCGCCCACTGCGCGTGCTCCTGCAAGACGAGGGAGACCATGAGGAGGAAGGCCTGCGGTCTTTCGTCATCTGGCACCAACTCCAGAGCTCTGCCCCAGACGCCGTTTGCCTCCCCGTGGCCGCCAGCCAACGGCGTCAGCAGATTGCTGAGCTCACGATGGGTAGATGCGCATTGCTCTGTCACAAGCTCCGAGAGCGGGGTCGGGCCCATGTAAGGCTGCCCGCGCACGGCCATCGACTTCTGATGCATGCCATTAGTATCCGCAACTCTCTTTTGTGCCCAGTTCAAGAAATGAGCGAGCGGCCCCTTGGCAACAAGAGAGATATGCATCATCGCCAGGAACAGCGGCTGGCAACAAGACGTCCTTGCGTTCTGTCGATGGTTCTTCTGGTCCTCTGCGTACTGGTCCGCCTCGTCCGCGGCGGGGCCATGCGCGGGGGCCGCGCGGCCCCCGTCGGGGAATGCCTTCCTGAACACATTCGGCAAGTATGGAGACGCCTTCGTGAGCATCTTCTCCACGGAGTCTATGGACCCCCACCGCCCTTTCAAGACCCTCCCAGGCATCTTGGAGAAATACGCCCTGGCCACTCCGTCATCGCACTCAGACTCCGCCGCGGCCATGATCTTCTTCATCCCACCTGTGGCACGCCACACATTCGAGATCGTCGCGACGCGGCCGACGTAGCGGGACTTGCCCTCCAGCGTGTGCGGGGCTTGCCAGTCCCATGCATCGAGAAGCTCCAGCGCGCCCTTGACGGCGATGTGCACCTGATGCATGTAGCAGAAAATGCCCATGACCATAATCAAGGGCTGCGTGGCCAAGTCCCTCTTCACAGCCTTGAGCATGTGCGTGTTCTCGCTGCCAGCGTCCACGCCGAAGATGAACGCCCTGGCTCGAGCGCCGTCGCCTGGCGCGACGGGCCTCCAAGGCGGCGGATCCGTCCACGCAGGGCATCCGACAGACCGCAACTCCTTGATGTGGAGCAATCGGTTCGCCATGCCCGAGCCCTCTGTCACCGCCTGGAGGTCCCCGACAACGCAGTGGCGGCGAGCCCACGCGGGCCTGGCCGGGGGCGACTCGAGCACGGGCACAAGCGCGTCAGAATCGGCCAAATCGGCAACTGCATCCTCGGCGCCATCGACAGCCACTACCGTGGTGATCAAGGACGTGTGGACCTTCTCCCGCTGCACTGCCTCGTGGTTCGTCCCGTCGCTCTGGATGAGATGGACTTGGAGGCAGCACGACGCCGTCTCGCGGTGGAACTCGAAAGACCTGAGGCGCTTGACGATGTGCGCCCTGTATTCGTAAGTCACGACTGTCTTGTAGTCAGTGATGTGCCCGCGGACGCTGTCACACGCAATCATGAGCGCAGCTGCACCTGCCCCCGCGTGGCCTCGATTTCTGCGGAGGGCCAAGTTGTACCCCCCGAACGGGGTCACATTTCTTCTAGGTCGCCAACAGACAAGGTCGTGCAATGCCCGGGACTGCCCCTCTTGCTCGACGAGCTGCGCGCCAATCTGCGCCGCCCTCGCTGCGTAGTGATCGCGGCTGGTTGTCATGGATGCCAGCGTGTTCCGAAGCCTCTCAATCTCGGCGTCCTTCTGTTCGATCTGCTGATCGCGAATAACCAACATACTCTGGCACTCAACCTTGTCGTACTGGTCGTACTTGGAAATGTCGGCGCACAGAGGCGCAGCTGCCATGGCGACGGCGTGGGAGGCGCTGGCGCCGTCGCCGCCGCCCGCGGACGCCTGGCCACCAGCGTCGGGCAGCGGCACTGGCGGCAAAGGATCAGCGACCCGCACTCTCCTGGATTGTCTCGCCTCTGCCTCTGCCCCCCTGGCGAACAGCGCCCCGGGCGGGCGCCGCTTCCGACCGTGGGGCCCGCCCCCCACGACGTCGGCCAGCACGCGCTCCATCTGCTCCCAGCTGGGGCCCTGGCCATTGATGCTGCGCATGACCCCAGGGACCAGCCTGATGTCGCAGCAGCCCGCGGCAACCCGCAGCTCGAGTTGCCCCGCGGAATCGAAGTCGGCGCTGAGCCTCGCCGCCTCGGAGACCACCCTCACCTTCATGGCCCGCGCTCGAGGGCCAGGATCGCTCTCGCCGCTGCAGAACAGCAGGAGGCACGCCACGTCGTGGTGCTTGACGACGCCCTGCATGAACTGGCGCCCCAACTTCCTCTCCTCCAAGAACTGGGCAATGTCGTTCAAGAGCGCCTGCGGCGCCTGCTCCATGAAGCGGCCCAGCTCCTAGGGCAGGGCTCGGGGCGCAAGCGGGGCAATGCCGCCCTTGGCGCTCGAGGCAAGCGACCCGCCACGGTGACGCCCAGGCGGTCTTGACAACGCGCGAGGAGGGGGAGCGAGAAGAAGAGTTAACGGGAAGGGCGAGGAGGGGGGCGGAGGAGGGAAGAGAGGAAGGAGGAGGAGGAGGAGGAGTAGGAGGAGGAGGGGGGCATGCCACATTCTGTCAACACAAAGGGAGGGGCATCGGCATCGGACGAAGGGGGGGGGGGGGGACGGGGCGAAAGTGGCGACGGCGACGCTGGGGCGGCGACGACGAGCGAGCGAGGGGCGATTGCAGTGGCGGCCGCCTGCCTCGAACGCTCGAGGCGCAACTTGCCGTCGCTCGGACGCCCATTTCTCGTGCATTGTTCGGTTTGTTTCGTGCGTGCTTTTTTGCTCGATGGTCCAGGATGTTCCTCGATGGCTATCGCCGCCGAGGAAAGATGCACGCGTCCGAGCGATGCCAAGGCAACGCCCCCCCCCCCCCTCCAGGGGGGCCATCGGCCATCGGCTCCTTCGCGGCGGTGGGCGCCCTCAACTCCGAGTTCAACTCCCCGCCCCTGGAGTCGAAGCACAGCAGCTCGAACTTCTTCGCGGCGAAGGCCTTGCGGGCGCGGGGCGGGCGGGGCGGGGGCGGCTAGAGGGGGGTCGGCAGGGCTGCAGCTGCAGTCGGTGCGATCTGAAGCCTTACAACAAAAACGCTTCCGATCGCGACTGACTCGCCCGCCCGCCCCCTACGACGAACGACGGAACGATGGCAGCTCTTCCCGCCCGTCCCCCCCTGGGCCTCCGCCGCCGCTGCAGCGGGCCCCTGCTGTGGGGCAGCCCCTCTGCTGCCCTCGGCAGCGCCGCCCAGCGCGCTGCGCCCTGGCGCCCTGGCGCGGCCCCGCAGCGGGCGCCCCGCCGCCAGCGGGGAACTGAAGCCAAAGGCTTCGCCAGGAAGGAAAGAGATGCTGAGGGGGGGGGCGGGGGGGGTGCGATGCTCAGGCCAGCGCCTCGACATCTTGCCACAGAGAAGCCCACGCGAGGAATGAAACCATGGGGCCCCTCTCTGGCCCCAAGTAATGCATGCGTGCAACGCGTGCAATGCAATGCGACGACCAAGATGCAATGCAATGCAATGCATCTTCGTCGCTGGCATCGGGGGGGGGAATGCCCCGACGCGGCCGACAACTGGGCAACGCGCGTCTACTCGACGGCCCCGGGCGCACGCAGAGAAGGTGCTTGCTTGCTGCGCTTGCTTGCTACGGGTGCACATGTCATACGGTTCTAGTCTACCTTTTACGATGCAGACTCTTGCAAGCAATGCCGTGCGCAAAGTTGCCGCGGCTGGAAATCAGGAGGCCAGTGGCCAGCATCGAGGACGACGGCGCAACGATCGACGCCGCCGGGAAGGGGCCGGGGCGGGGGGGCGAGGGGGGGGCAAAGGGGGCGCGAGAATGAGGAACGGGCGCGGGCGGGGGAAGACGCGAGACGCGGGGACGAGGAGGAGGCGAAGAGGAAGGAAGACGGGAACGCGGGCACACAAGGGGGACGGGGCCCTGGAACAGCATTGCCGTCAGAGTGAGGGGGGGTCGAACGGTCCGAACGGTCCTGCACTGCCCGCCACTGGGCCCCCGGGCGCGCTGCCGAGGCGCACTTCCGAGGTGATGGGTTCGCGCGAGCGGCCTGCGACCCCTCGCCCCCATCCGCAACTGCTGAATGCTCGGCGCCTCGCCGCGCGCTCGAACGATCGAACGGCGTCTCTCTTCCTGCGAGCGATCTTGCCCGCGCAATCCACTTCGCCACACTTGGCGACTAGTCTCGCAAAACGGCCTGCTGCCACGCGGCAGGGGGCATCGGGGGCGGCGGCGCGGCGGCGAGCGGCGGCTGCCATTGGCCCGTTGGCCACTCGCCACTATATACATTAGGGAAGACCGTCTTCTGGGAAGGCGACGCCGTCGCAGCCTCAGGACCGCCATCCCGCTCGAGACATCTCCGACACCCACCTCGGGGACCCGGGGCCCTCGCCTCGCTGGATGCGGCCGCGATGTCGTCGCCCCCCTTTCCCCGACACCGAGCGCGATCGATCGCTGGGGGCTCAAGTATGCACGATATCCCTCGGCGCTGAAAGGGGGCAGGCAGGGCGAGCGCAGGGGGCCCAGGGGAGCTTGTGCATATGCCCGTGTTACGCTAGCTGGGCCGTCGGCTCCGCGGGAGGTCGGCCGGGGCAGCGCGCGGGGCCGTCGGCCCGACGGTCCCGCGCACAGTGACTGCGCGCGGGACCGTCGGGCAGTCCCAGCCGACACCCCGGGGCCGACGGCCCGCGCGCAGCCCCAGCCGACCCTCTGTTACACTGTTGCACGGCGGGCCCCCAGCGAACGACTTCAAACAAAATGCGGGCCGATGCCCACGTCGGGGCCCCCCTCGCGCGTCACCCTTCGACCGCCTGCCGCCCCTGCCGCAGGCGAGCTGAACGAGCGGATGAAGGCGCCGACGCCGTTCTCGGCGTCGATGCCGCGCAGGCGCCTCGCGGCCGGGGCTGTCGGGCCGTCGGGCTCCTCCGCCCTCCAGCCTGTCGCTACTCCCCCCCGTTCCCCCAGAGCTCCACGAGCCGCCCTCCTCTCCCTTGACATCGAAAGCGCCGACTTGTCTGAACCCACTCGCATCGCCTCAGGCCCCGTCGTCGGCATGCATGGCCTCCTCGGGCCCGTCCGCGACGACCTCCCAAGGCACGTGGCCAAGTCGGCGGTACGAATGGTAAAGCATGCGCGCCGTCCTCAGGGATGGAGGGATGGAAGGAAGGACTCTGGGACCCTGAAATCCTGATCTCTTGGGGCAAATTCCAAACCGTCGGGTCCTGATCCTCAACTGGAATCTAGACTGGTAGACGGCGACGCTGTCTTTCACAATCTTCAGGATCTCAGAATACTTCCACCCCCTGCTAGCCTCGCGGAGGTTTAGCAAGGACACTCGCGTGAGGGCCTCGTGCAGCAACACCCGATGTTTCTGGCGGGCGCGCAACTTGCCCGACGCAGGTTCCACTCGCCTCGACATGCGCCCCAGTTGCGGCGGCTGCCCAGGGACCCGACAAGCCAACGAGCGGCTCGGGCCCCGCGCTGCGACGGCACCGAGCGAAGAGGGCGGCGCGGAGCAGGGGAGCACATGGCATATGGCATAGCTATGCATAGTTGAAAGGATAGAACGCAAGGGAGAAGGGGGAGAGGGGCAGCATGGAGACATCTGAAGCGCGGCGGCACGACCGCTCCCGACGGCTGCCCCCGTTGCCCCCAGCGCCTCCTCACTCCTTATTGCAGCGCGAGGTGCTGGTCGGGCTCCGCGTTGAGGCAGGCGAACTTCGGCGCCTGAGCGGGCGGCCCGGGCGATGGGGGGGGCGGCAGGGGGCTGACGGCAAAAGACACGGATGGGGGGCCACGTCGGGGGGCGGGGGGAGGCAAAGCGGGGGCGAGGAGGAGGCGCGAGGAAAAACAGGAAGAGGGGGGGCTGGAGGAGGCCGAGGGAGGGTCGGCCGCCAACCCCCCACCCACCCCCAGCCCGCGCGCGCCCCGAGTCCCCGCCAGAGCCCATCCAGAAGCGACGCGCTCGAAGGTCGGGGCAAACAAGGAAGCGCAGAAGCACGCGAGGGGGGCGGCCGTTCTCAGGGGGGTGCAATGCTGAGGGGCATCGTGTTTCAGGCGCTACGCCTCGCCCGCCATCTGCTTCTGACGCTTCTCCTTCGCGATCTCGGCGGCGAGGGTCTGGGTCTCCTCTGCCATGTAGTTGGAGATGTCGTGGCGGGCGCCGTCGAAGTCGTCCAGCACGCCCGCCGGGACCTGGATGGGGGCAGGCAGAGGGCGCGGGGGCGGACGCGTTCAATCCCGCATCGAAGTGAGCGAGGGGGGGAGCTCCGATTTGAGGGGGGTTCAGACTCGGGGTTGCGCTGGAGGGCTGGGCGGGGGGGCCAGCGAAAAGGCCCAGGCAATTCCCCCGACGGGGGCTTCGCGAGCGACCCGTCTGGAGGGCGCCAGACCCCCCGCCCGCACGCGCGCATCAATACTTCATTGCGCAAATAAACGTAGGGATTCGATGCGGTGGCACCCCTCGCCCCCGTCGTTGCCGCCGTCGTCCCCGGGCCGCGTCCTCGTCGCCCTCGTCGCTGTAGTCGTCGCGGTCGTGGTCGTCGTCCTCGTCGACGTCGCGGCCCGCGTGGTCGCCGCGTCGTCGAGTCGTCGCCGCCGTCGCCCTCGGCCCGAGCGGGCTCGGGCGCCCCGCCGCGGCCGCCGCGGCCGCTCGGCGGAAAAGGAAAAGTTTGCGATGTTGATATCCCTCCGACCTCCTTGTCGCCCTCGTCTTGGTCGAGCACGCGCGGCTGCTTGGCGCGGTGGCCCTCGCCCTCGCCCGCGCCCTGCGCGGGGCGGCGGCGATCGGTGCGAGGGGGTGCCTGAACAGCCCGGGCCCCAGAGGCCCCAAGTTGGCATCGGGCCCGAGGGCCCGCCGAGCAAAAATGCGCGACGGCCAAGACAACGTCGACGTCTTCGCCGACGTCTTCGCCGTCGCGCCCCGGGGGCAAGCAGAGGGGGGGCAATGGCCAGATTGAGCCCGAGTCCTCGGAGTCGGAGAGGGAGATGGGCCCCCGCCCCCCGCGGGGAGGCTGAACCCCGAGCGCGCCCAGGATGCGGCACTCCGACGCCGAGGGCGCCTGGGCAAGAAGAAGGAAGGGCGGCGGGGAGAACGACGCAACTCGAGGGGAGGCACCTGGCTCGACGAGGGGGGGGGCGGGGGGGGGGATGGGGAGGGATAATAGAAAAGGGCAACGGCGAGAGGAAGAGGAGAGGCGGGGGGCGAGAAGGAATCATTGGATCATTGGAGTCCTTGGCCCTGCCGCGCTTGGCCAGCGGCTGCGGGGCGGCCTTGGCCTTGGCCTTGGCCTCCGCGGCCTCCGCCGCCCCTGGGGCGCCCGGGGCAGCCGCGGCCTGGGGCGGGCGGCG